ACTTCCAGTTTACTGCAAGGGTCGGGGGTGGGGGCAGATGATCAGTTTCACGGAGTAAGACCAAATGACTTCTTTCAAGAAAAGACTTTATATATATTTTAGAGAGAGAGGAAGGGAGGGAGAAAGAGAGGGAGAGAAACATCGATGTAAAAAACATGGATCGGTTGCCTTTCATATATGCCCCGACCAGGGACTGCACCCACAAGCCAGGCCTGTGCCCTGACTGGGAATCAAACCGATGGCTCTTTGCTTTGTGGGGCAGCACCCAACCAACTGAGCCTCAGGAGTCAGAGCGATGGCTTCTGTCCTCACTTTAAATTCTGGAGAACTTCCAACATCCATGGGGTGGGGGGTACAGAACAGCCTGACAGCCCTCCGGCTGTCGTCATGGTGCCCTCTCTGGTCCATGTGTGTGGCTCTCTCCCACTCCCTTACCCCACATTGTCTGAAGCAAATGCCAAACATCGTTTCATCTGCGCCCACTGAGCACACAGCTCATAAAGATAGGGACATAATTACCATAACATTGAGGATAAAACCTAACAAAGATGAACCATTGTTTAATACCGCCAAACCTCTAATGTTCAAATTTCCAATGACCTCAGAAATGCTGTATGTGTTTTACTTTTACAGTTGCTTGTTGCCATCAGAATATAAACAAAGCGCACATTCCAGCGGGCCGATGTGTCTCTTCCATCTCGGTTCCTAGTTTCCCCACGTGTGCTTCTAAATCGGAGTGGGTTAGGTGAAGACACGGCTGTGTGCCCTGCGGGGCTTCTCACAGGATGGATTTGGCTGACCACATCTCTGAAGTGCTGAGTAGCATTGCTCTGTCTTCTGTATTTTCTGTTCATTGGTTGTAGGATCCACGTTTAATTGCTTCTTTACACTGTTCTCCCTTCAAGTTCACTGATGCTTCACTCTGTCTACTCTGTTCTGCTGCTGAGCCCATCCAGCGAAGTTTTCATTCCAGTTACTGTATCTTTCAGTTCTAAAACTCCCATTTGGTTCTTTATCTCTTTGCTGAGATTCAGCAACCCCAGGCTCTCATCTAAATCACAGGTGGCAAACACAAGGCCCACGGGCCAAATCCATCCCTCCACCGCGTTCTATCCGGCCCGGCACCTTGTTTCTATGCTTCTCTGTTAAGGAGTAGATACATTTATACAGTCCTAAAATTACGTTGGCCCTCTGAAGGCAACCTCGAGGCTGATGTGGCCCCCGGTGAAATGACTTTGACACCCCTGATCAAAATGATATGTTTTAATATGTGAATGCACGGCCCTGACCAGTGTGGCTCAGCAGGTGGGGTGTCACTCTGCAAAGTGAAGGTCAGCAGGTTGATTCCCAGATGGGGCATGTGTCTGGGTTGCAGGTTCGGTTCCTCGTCAGGGCTGGTACCAGAGGCAACTGATTGATGTTTCTCTCTTACAGCAACATTTATTTTTCTCCCTTCTTTCCCCTCTCTAGAAATAAAATATTTTTAAAAAACGGTGCACATACGGTAGCACGGTAGAATGTGGTAGTCAGCCTCCAAGGTGGCTCCCAGTGACCCCCGTCTCCTCATCGTCCCACCCTCTGACATTCCACCGGGCTGTCTGTGTGAAGCAGTGGCGCCCGGCAGGAGTGATGGCGCGTCCCTTCTGAGACCAGGTGACAGAACACTGAAGCTTCCATCATGGGCACAGTCCTCCTCCCCAGCACGCATGCTCAGGCCACTTGCTCTGGGGGCAGTGGGCTGCCCTGTGGTCAGGAGGCCCGCGCAGTCTTCAGAGGTGCCCATGTGGTGAGAAACTGGTCCCCAGCCAACAGCCACGGGGGCACTGAAATCCGCACCTACAACACGAGTGTCTCCAGAGGCGAGTCCTCCTCCACGGAGCCTCCACAGGAGTCTGAAGTGCCGGCAAAGCATGAGAGGCTCTGAAGCAGAACCTCCAGCTGGCTCCAGATTCTGGCGCACAGAAACTACGAGTTTTCCTTTTAATCCTCATCTGAGGAAATGTCTATTGGTTTTAGAGAGACAGGAAGGGGGAATGGGAGAGAGAGAAACATAGATCAGTTGCCTCCTGTGTTACCCCTGACTGGGGATCGAACCTGCAACCTTTTGGTGTACAGGACAACGCTCCAACCAACTGAGCCACCCAGCCAGGCCAACAGGGTAAGTTCTTTGAAAGCTGTTTAGTTTAGAGGAAATTTGCTGTGCAGCAGGTAACTGATACATCAGGGTTTGTACCTGAGTCCCTGCTCAACTGCTTTCTAAAAGACTCAGGACAAGTTGGATGAGCTCATTTAGCACCAGTTTCTTCACTCGGAAATCGATGACCATTCTTGCCTCCCCTACTTTTCAGGGTGGTTCTGAGTCTCGCAGAAGACAAAACATGATACAGTTATTATTGATCTTTCAAGCCTGGTCCCCCTATGTTACAGATGAAAACTGGGCGGCCAACAGGAGTGAGAAGAACAGACCGACAAGGCATCGACGTGCGGAGGAGCCGCACAGCTTTTCCAGGCTCCCACTCTCCAGAAAAGGGGCAAGGACCAAAGTGTCCTGTGCGCTTGTTAAATGGCCACTCTGTGAAAGCAGGCAGCAGGTAAATCGGGGACTGTTCGTGGTAAACTAAGAGAACTGCATTTCCTCTACAGCCCATGACAAATGAGGAATGAATGCAAGAGCGTCAGAGTTGCTCCCCTTCGGCCCCTGCATGGCAAGGCCGTGCAGACACAGCCAGTTGCTCCGACGTGATGAGTTTCAAGCACACGGGCACCCAGCCAGCTGACGAACACCATCTCTTTGCACCCAAACCACGGGCATTAGGCAAATGGCTCCTTTCTTTAAAAGCTTGCTAGGCAAGTTGATATCAGTGTCTTTAAACTACAAATACTCTTTTGTTATGCAATCTTAGTAAAAAAAATAGTTGACTGAGAGGAGAGAAAAGACGATAACAGTATTTTGAACCAACAAGGGCAGACCATTTGGGCAACAATGATTCATCTCAATGGAGCTCAAATTCTTTAATGAAAATTTTTTTTCTCAAAGAATTATTTTTGTAAACCACCGCACCGTGTGCTTTCCCTCGACTTCAGTCTACTGATAGGGGAGAAAGTTGTTTTATTTGTAAGATTTATTTATTTTTAGAGAGGGGGAAGAGAGGGAGAAAGAGAGGGAGCGAAACATCAATGTGTGGTTGCCTCTCACGTGTCCCCTACTGGGAACTGGCCTGCAACCCAGGCATGTGCCCTGACTGGGAATTGAACCAGCAACCCTTTGGTTTACAGGCCAGCACTCAATCCACTGAGCCACACCAGCCAAGACAGAAAGTGGAGATGTAAAATATTGAAAAGAATCCGATAAATTAAAACGTGTGTGTTGTCTCAAATTGCAAGGGAAAATGCAAACATAAAGTAGTTGAGTTGGAGTGGTAGGATCATTTTTTGGTCCATTCCTAGTTTCGTTTTTAATTTTTAAAAAATAGGTTTACAAATAGTATATAAAATAGTATATATACACTATGTGGTGACATATTTTATATATAACTTACATATTTGCATGATATTTTTAGTTTAAAGATTCAAATTTTACAGTGTCTGTTGTGACAGAATGGGATTGAATCGATTTTTGGAGGATTTACAAAATAACCAGTGATGGTGCAGTTTCTCACTCTTCACGCATGTCCGCTAGGATTCTTTGGCTGCGAGCAACAGAAGTCCACTCTGACTGGACAGGAAGAAAATGTTGTGGAAGACCGTGGGAGAGAGTCCAGGACCTGCAGGGGGCCTTCGGGCAGCAGGCAGCCAGCGGCCACCCCCCCCAGCACCCCCCCACGGAGCCCAAGGCCCTGCACTGCGTAAGTGAGCACGCACCAACCATTTCTGCTTCCTCTGTGTTTGGTCCCTGCGTCTAAGATGCAAAGTCCTGGCAGGATGAGGGGGGTGGGCTTTTTTTGCCTGGCCAAAGACGTGCCAAGCTAGAAGGTCCTGAGCTGATGGACTGAAGAGGGAGCTGGAAGGAACAGTCCCTTGCACTTCCACGTGGAAGAACAGAACACGCTGAGGACCCCGCCCCACCTCTAAATGCGGCCCTCAGCAGCAGGCAGGGAGCCACCCCACAGGGAGAGGAGAACACTGACCGGGAGGCCCACTGTCCACTAAGCTGCAGAACTGTTCTCACCACCGGACCAGAAGCTGGTGAGAGCGTGAACTGTCTTCTGAGGGTGATGTAGAGCAACTGGCTGACAGAGAACAGAGACTGAAAGACCCTCTACCGACCTGACCATGAACTTTTCTCATTACGCCTTCATTAATGCTAACATCTCCTCCCCAGGGTGGGGAGTTTCCGCCAGTTTTGAACATGCGATGCATGTAGAGGCATGTTTACTGACCGCCCAGGCTCAGGAATGCCCCCACCCATACATGCGATGACGAAGCACACATTTATGTCTGTGCGTGATCTCCCTGAGTAAAGACAGATCCAGCGCTCTGTTCCGGGCACGCGCTTCTCTGCGAGCAGCTCCCAGCGTGCTCCTGGCTTGCCGGCTCGCAATAAACCTCCTTCTCATAAAATCTTAGAGTCGTCTCTGGCTGAAACCCCTGACTAATCGGACCCTGTTTGGGTCTGGTAACAACAGGGGTTGCATAAATATGCAAAGGGAAGGGAACTTACATGTTTCGGCAAAACTGGTGAAACCCAATCGACAAGTCCGAGTCTGTCTAGCTAGCTAGCAGACCAGCATTCTGCTCTGTTTCAAAGATCTTACTTTAAGATCCTTAAAGGTGACCCTTAAACCACATGTCCTCAGGAGAGGAATTCCGCATGGCTTTCAGACACAAGTGGTTGAACGGCATTTTTGATAGAGGCGAAAGCTTCGAAAGTTTTATTAGCATTCAGGTTAAAAGCTTTATACCCGGGCACGCCTGGACAAGGGAGCGCTGCTTCTTAAAGGGGCCACGCTTCAAGGCTCGGCCCTTGGTCTAGAGGTGGTGGAGCTCTGGCACTTCTACATGCACTTCTACATGAGGTGCTTTAAGCATCCCCGATTTTGTCCGGGCATGGGCGTGACGTGTCCTTGTCTTCCTCCTTCAGGGGAGAAGAGACAGTGTTACACCTCTGGGCTCTCGACACATTATTCCCACACGGGGGGCTCCCTGACGTCTTCCGTGGGTTAGAATTCACTCTAAATTAGGCAGGAGGCTCCCTCAGAGGAGAATCTGAAGGAGGATAGCATTGAAATATTTCTTGAGATGGATCTTAAATGCAGGTGTGTGTGTGTGTGAGAGAGAGAGAGAGAGAGAACACACCTATCCTAAAATCTAACATGTTGGGTCATTGTTATGTGGAGAGTTCAGTGGCACTGAGCACATCACCCCCGCTGCGCAGCCACCACGGTATCTTTCCAAACCCCACCCGCCCCACCTTCTCAGCCCCCGGACCCCAGCACTCTCCTTTCTGTCTCTGGGAGTTTGACTCCTCTGGGTCTCTCACACAGGTGGAATCACACAGTAGTTGTCCCTTCGTGTCTGGCTTAGTTGTAAATGCAGTTTTGATACAGAGGGTCCCAGCTTTACTGTGAGGAAGGAGACAATGGGTGCAGCCGTTACTTCTAGGTCATGAGTCTTCAGCCCGGAGCCTCAGCTGAATCCCTGGATCTGAACCCTCTGTAGGGGACAAGTCTCCTCACTCCAAGGTGTGTTCATAAGAGATTGAAATTCAAAAGTTGCTAATGACTGTTCTGGGTCTTCTCTGTTTTGAGAGCACCCTCTTGGTCCCAAACCAAGACGAGCTGCCTCTGGCAGCAACACCCACCACCCTGGTCACATTTCTCGTACGGCTCTGGGTTTGCCGATGAATCGATTTTAACACCCAACAGAGCAGCGTTCAGTCTGTGCACCCTTAGGCCCAGGTTTGCCCAGCCACTTAAGAACGCCAAGCTGACCCTCCTTATTTGAAAACTATCTAACAAAAATGCAAATCAAGACCACAATTAGATACCACCTCACACACATTAGCACGGCTGTGATAAAAATAAAAAGGAAATAACGAGTATTGGTGAAGATGTTGAGAAATAGGAACCCTTGTGCACGGCTGGTGGGAATATAAAATGGTGCAGCCACTACGGGTACCAGTAGGTGGCTCATCAAAAATTAAAAATAGAATTACCACCCTGGCCGGTGTGGCTCAGTCTTTGGGAGCTTCGTCCCCAGACCAGTGGGTCGTGGGTTCTACCCCTCGTTGGTGGTCATTTAGGAAAAGGCAACTAATCGATGTTTCTTACATCGATGTTTCTCTCTCTCTCTCCCCTGCCCCCCTTCTTGTCTCTTTGAAAAGAGCTACAATGACAACAAAAAATGTTCTCAGGTGAGGATAAAAACAAAATAGAATCACCAGATGACCCAGCAATGGCCCGTCCAGCTGCGCACCCAAAGGCACTGAAAGCCGGAACTTGAGTGGATACGTCCACCCCCCGCCCACAGCAAGTCTTCACAGCAGCAAAGAGCGAAACCACCCACGCGTCCCCTGATGGACTCGTAGCACAGAACATGGTACCTCTGTGCACGAGAACATTCTCTGGCCTCACAAAGGGAAGATGTTCTGACGTGGACAACAACATGGTGAACCTGAAGACATTATGCCAAGTGAAATAAGCCCGTGACAAAAGGACACATACCGTGCAATTCCACTTGGGGGATGTGCTTAGCAGAGGCAGAAAGGAAAATGGCGGTTACCAGGGCTTGGGGGAGGGACAGGGGTCAGCGCTTAACAGACCCTGAGCTGTGGTTTGGGAGGGTGAGAAAGTTCCCCCACGGACCATGGGGGGGAGGCACAGCGATGCAAGTGTGTGTAATGCCACTAAAATATTCCCTTAAACACTGGCTAAAATGCTAAATGGTATGTTATGCATATTTTACCACAGTAAAGTTTTACAAAAGGTCTGATGTTATCTGACCATTGTTCCTGGCTCCTGCAGAAAACTTGGAAGCCTTTTGCAGAATCCATCCCCAAACACCACAGTTGAGAAAGAGGCAAAACGCAGTGAGTAGCGAAATTGGTTTTCAAAAGCTGGGCCTGCCTTAGTTGTCTGCATTTTTCAATAAAAAAAATCCAGTTGAGCATCTTACCCCTTCCCATACTCCTGCCCTGCCCCCAGAAGAGTCAAGCAGGAAAAAAAGTAAAACTGGAAGCCAGAGGCAGCAGAACCAGACACTATGGGAGTCAAACAGCTTCCAGGAACCCAAAAGCTGCTACTCAAAGGCGGCCCATATGCCATGGCTAGGGGCTCAGAGCTAAATCCTGAAGGAGCGTCTCCCCAAACCCCAACTTCCACTCGCCTGCCCCACAGCAAAGCCACCTGCCAGGTGACCACCTGCCTGCGGAGGTGGCCCACCAGGGGTATGGACACTCCCGTGCACCTGCAGTCACCTACCTCAGAAAAGTGGTTCTCGATGATGCTCTGAGCCGTCAGAGCCACCTGATGGTTCTCGTGGAACTGAAGAGCCTTGATTCTGTCAAGCCCACCATGTTCCTCGATCGAGACACACAGGGATTCCACCTCGGGGAGCTTCTTTGCTGCCTGGGGCGCAGGGAGGAAGGGAGAGAGTGAGGCTGGACCAAAGCCCGAGGGGGATTCGCCAGGGGGCTTCACGTCAGGGCCAGAACTCAGAGTCGGAGATTCACGTCCCCCACGTGGATGGAAACCTGCATGGCCTCCTCCCACTTGGGACTTTATGTCATATGCACTTAGGTTTCTCCTCATTGTGAAATCACTGTGTGTCCTCTGCGGAGTATACGGCCGTCCATGAACAACGTCGCTGCCACTGTGTAGCAGCCACCCCACCTCTGATGGGTAGACGCTGTTTTAAGTGACAGTTCACAGAACGTTCGAGCAACACCCCACGTCAGTGCTGATGTCCTGGCCCTGTGCTTGGAAGGCCTGGAAAGTGAGACTGGGGACCCTCAGGAGCAAAAGCGATGCTGTGGCCAACAACAAAGTTGCCGGAGACAAATGACATGAGAAGACTTCATCCAATGCTGGTCACCGGTTTGTCACCAGAGCTACTCACTCACTCACGTGGGTCCACGCACGATGGATGGGGCACACGCAACTGAGCTGCGTCACTCACACAGTCAGGGGAGACACGTGGATAACTGTTAAGCACAGAAGGCCAAGTACACTAAACGATCCGAGGTTACGTTACAGAGGATGTGCCCAGGAGCCGCAAAAGTGACCGGAGTTCTTACTGAGCAAGGCTGGGCGGGTCCGTCGGAGCAGTGACCTCCCCAGAGCAGGCAGCAGCGAGGACCAAGCTCTGAAGGAACGAGGGCTGCGCGTTATGGGAAGAGGGACTAGTTCAGCCGAACAACGTATCCGGGGAAGCGGAGAAAGACGGAAAAACCTCACGGACATGTCCCGAAGGGCTCTGCTCGCCGTTTTGTGAGCAGTGGCAGAAAACCTCCCGTGGGCGAAATTACAGACCTTTGGGCCACGCGATTTCCCCCGATGACAGTTCACACTGCGTGTCTGAGCCCTGGTCGCCTCCGGCCCTGTGAGCTACTGGATTTGAGTGAATGAAGCCAGAATGAGCATGCGAGGGTCAGCCTCGGCAAGGAGGCTGGGCCGGGGGCAGCAGGAGCCCTGGCCGAGGATTTCTGGCTCCTGACAGCAAATGGCCCCAAAGCTACTTCAAAGAACCTCAACTCAACTCTGCTGCCCATTCAAAGTTTTTCCTGTCTCATGTTGAGCTTCTAATCTTCTGTCCCAAGTACTTCTGTCTGAGACGGGGGCTTCACTGACCCGCCAGATGTGATTTGCCCAGACTCTCCCAAGAAAGAAGCCCAAGTGTTTAATCGAAGCAGGTGAAGTTGAATTCCCATAAAAGCCCACATTTGCTTTTACAGGCTGGTTACATCGAACTTAGGCCGCTGGTCACCTGGACTCTACCCTCTGGGTGATTCACAGAGACTCAAAGTCTCTGTGTCCAGCTGGGCAGTGGGTCCGATCTGTCCTTGACTCAGATCAGTTCTTCCCGAGACAGTGGCACGAAAAGGGTGCTTAAAGTGAGTTTTCAGAAGGAGCTCCCTGGTGTCACTTCAAAACTTTTCAAATGGCTGAGTTGTATGGAAAAGGACCTGAACCGAGATGGCCCCGGGGTCCATGCCCCTGTGTTGGTGTGAGGGTTACCAAGGGCTGGTCTGTGTGGCCAACAGGATGCTGTTGAAGTCACCTCCTTTGTAGGTCCTGAAAGACATGGGGGCTTCCACCTTTCTTTCTCAGATTGCGAGCCCCTGAGGAAGCCAGCTGCCATGCTGTGAGGACACTCAAGCTGTCGTCTGGAGGTGTCCAGGCGGTGAGAAAAGCCCAGCAGACACACGAGTGAGCCGTCCTGGAAGCCGATCGTCCAACCTCCATCGAACGTTCAGATGGGACTGAAACCCCCACCTGACATCTCGAGCCTCACGAGAGACCCTGAGCCAGAAGCGTCCGGCCGAGCCGTGCCCAGATTCCCGGCCCTGCACACGCCAGTGAGTGTCTGTTTAAGTCCCTACGGGGTCATTTTTCTTGCAGCAATATAGAACTGAGACAAACAGTCATATAAAAATATTGCCTTAACTTCCCTTTCTATCAGAAAGAAGACTTTATTCTAGAGTTCCAATTCGAGGTTTTGCAGTCTATATTCCCAGCCATATAGTTGGATGGAAAAGGAACTGCAGCCCGGGCTGGTGTGGCTCAGTGGACTGAGCACTACTGGCCTGCGAACCAAAGGGTCACCGGGTCGATTCCCAGTCAGGGCACATGCCTGGGTTGCGGGCCAGAAGCAACCAATCGATGTTTCTTCTGCACATCAGTGTTGCTATCCTTCTCTTTCTCCCTTCCCTCCCTGCTCTCTAAAGATAAATAAAATCTTTACCAAAAAAAAAAAAAAAAAAGGAACCCTAGTCCCCTAGTCTGACCTCTTAACATACGTCCCTGCTAACTTCTTGCTGCTCCTTCCGCTGTACCCTGGGCTTTAGCCACCGGGAAACAGCCAACTGTGCGGCTCCCTGACCAGTTCCCTCCTTCAGACCATCACCTGGGTGCTCCATCTCACTCAGATAGTCCAAGTCCTCACAGACTTACGTGACCTGCCCCTGCAGGCCCGGAGCTTGGTCTCCCGCCACCTTCCATCCCTTCGCTCTGCTCTGGCCACACCCTCTGCTTGCTCTTCCCAGAATATTCTTCCCCAGACACGCACAAGGCTCACTCACCTCTCTGAGGCCTTCACTCACATGCTGTTCCTCACAGAGGTTTCTCCTGACTACTGCATATGAGAGATCGCCTTCCCTCCCTGCCCCGAGCCATCGGTGACTACCTCTCGTCAGACACATTCACCCACAACGCCCTGGCTGGACTGTCCGCAACCCTCCTCACTACGACAAGAGCTCTGTGAGAGCAGGAACTCGGCTCTGCCATATCCTGAGACCCTAAGGCAGTGCTGGGCACAAAGACCCTCATTTGAGGAAAGGAAGGTAACGCCCCTCTTTGAAAGCCCTTTTGTTACTGCCAGCCACAGGGTGTGCGCTCGGAGGGCGGAGATGAGAGAGTGGGGAGGGAAGAGAATCCCACTTGGGTTTTAAGAGTGAGACTAAATGTCTCAAGCTCGGAGACTGCCAATTTAGAAGCCAGCCTGCCCGGAACAGCTCACCTGGAGGAGTAAAAAGATGATGTCAAGGATGTGAATGACAAACTTGGTGTCTGGGACGGTGAGCAGGTTCACCAGCGGCTCGAGGACTCCTGAGCGGATGAGCTGGATCATCTGGTTTATGGTGCCCCCCGTGATGAAGTTGGCCACTGTCCAGATAGCCTCCTTTTGGACTTTAAAGTGTCCCTGGAGAAAGAGAGCTGCTTACGTTCTTTACAGATCCTGATCTATATGGATCTTAGGTCAGGTTCTGGGTTGGCTGGGGACAGCTGGGACTCTCTGTGCAATTGACACACCATACCTTGTGGACTGGCCTCTAATTCTTGAGCAGAAGACAGCATCTTTGAGAAGCCAAGGAGGAGGCTGGCAGACTCGTGGGGGGCTTTAGAGGGGGGTTCTACATTCAAACCCATTTCATTAACTCAGAGTAGGGAAAAACAGCCAACCTGAACCAATCCAGGCAATTAACACAGGTTGGGAGCTACGCTTGCAATGTGAGACTCTAGTGGCCTGAGCGTACTTTTCTACTCTTTCTGCCCTGGTGACACTTTGGATAAGAAGCTCCATAACGACAAAGCTGAGCACACAGATGTGACCTTGGCAACTGAGACGGCCCAGCGGTTACAGAGGAAGGCCACTGAAATACCGCTCAACGCATTCCTTGCGTTTATAAAAACACCAGGCCCAGAGACATGGGACTGATTTACCACGCATCCTTCTGTCCCTGGGCGGAAGGGGTCATTCCCATTTCGTGGCCAGGGAAAACTGGCCTCAGTTCAAAACCAAAGTCAAAACCCAAACAACCTATGATTCCAAGCAAGCTATCATTCAGAAGGCGCGGTTTGAAATCAGATTCCATCTTGATTATCGACTGGATGTTTCTTAATGGAATAGGTGCAGACGCACCGTGGAACTCAGGACAGGAAGCGTCCGATAGACTGGAAGGTGCTCTGCTTTGGGCTGCACAGCTGGCCCCGCTGTCATTCCTCACAACAACCTGGGACCCCACCACCCAACCTCAAGGTGGAAGCGCCTAAGCAGAAAACCAGAACTCAGACATTAAAGGTGATAAAAAGAAACGCTGGTGACAGTTGCCCCGGGGAGGGGACGTGGGACTTGGCCAGGGGGGTGGGGGGGAGATTTACTGCATTTCCACTTTTGCACATGGACCTGCGTGTGTAGTGCCACTTTAATCAATGTGACTTTTTATTCTGAAGAGGCCACCCTCTTCAGTGCACAAGATCAGCGCAACCTGACATTTTCCCTCCTAAAACAAAACAAACCAAACCTCCCTCCTCTTTCTACTCTCAAGTAGAGAGTAGATGGCACTTTCCTTTCAGACTCTTTACCAGCTAAGGTTTTTCTGGATATCTGAGCTGTGGGGCTATTGTTTTATTGAATACTGCTTGTTTAGTTTTTAGATTTTCCATGGATTATCCTAAATGGGAGGCCGCTTCCTTTGTGGTTTTTTTTTTTTTTGGAAACTGATATTTCATAGTTTTGTTGTCACCTCAGTTCATTTGCTTCTGAGCCCATATCTGCATCCCTGAGGGAGCTCAGCACCGAGCCCATGAGAAAGGCGCCTTTTCTGTCAAGGAAACTGAAGGCGCCACTTACATTTTTCAGGAGAGCCACCAGGGCAGGCAAGATGTTGTAAGCAATGACCTGCTGGAGGTGCTCGGGTGGCCCGGCGGCCACATTGCCCAGGGCCCAGGCTGCCACCTTCTGGACGAAGGGCTTGGGGTGCAGCAGGAGCTGGGGCAGCGCACCCATCATGCCCGCGTCGATGGCCGCTTGGGTCTGGCCGTCCGTTCCCGTGACGATGTTGCCCACAGTGCGGAGGGCGGGAATCTGCAAGAACAAGGCTCAAAGTGGAACCAAGTGTCACGAGTTGGTTGCTGTGGAAGGTGGCAAACACGCTGAGATCTGTGCCCTCCCCGACATTGGTCCTGCTATGCCGATGGCTCTCTGGAAGCCTGTGGACGATGATGGCATCCTCACCCTTACTGATTCAGCACAGCGATGGCTGCTTATACTGAGGCCACTGGGCAGCTTCCCGGCAGCAGTGGCTCTAGGGACATGGAGCGAAGGGACACCTTTGCCAGGAAAGGATGCTCTCCCTCTTCTATCTGTACATCAGGAATACGGTCAAACTGACTGCAGTGTTTATGATGTAATCATGTCTAGTCAATCATATTGAGCGCCGGAGCCGGGCTTCTGTTGTGTATGTTATTGGCCAGTGAGCTCCCAATGGCAATTGTGGGTCCATTCACGCCCCTCACAATAACTCTGACCGTTTGCAGGCTGGGTCTACAACTGGTTCCAGACAGCCGTCCGTGGAGGGCTGATTTTGGATTTATTTTGGTTTCTCTGCACTTTAGTGAGAGACAAGAGTTCTAGAATTTTCCTGGCCTATTATGCTGAGTGTCTGCTACTTAAGTGAGAGGTGGAAGTGTGCTATGGGCTGATCGCAGCCTTGCTCAGTTTGGCGGTTGGTCCCCCAAGTCCCCAGGATAAGCGACTTCTTACAGATACTCTCTTCATTCCCCACCCCACCCCACCACCAGCACTGTCCTCAAACTGACCTGGACATCTGAGGGATACCGTGCTAATCTCGGAACAGAGGACCCCCCTAAGATGGCATAACACACAGGATTAGCCATAGACATCAAAAGGGGCGCCCGCATTTTAAATGACATTTTCGAAAAGTATATTATAGAAGTAACATGTTTCATAACATAGCAAAGTATTGGATTTTGGTGTGACTTACTTTTTCATCTACATCTGAAGTAGTCTTGAAGAACAAACTGGGGAAAGGATAAGAGGGAATTTTCTCTTATACTTGAGCCTGGAACTCAAGTGTTACATGAGCTTTCCATGAATACACACACTCACACACACACACATGCACGCCCTGTGTTGGACAACTTGTTAACATCTGGGATTACAGGCAGCTTTGATTTGGTGCCTTCCATAATTTCTAATGATCAGATGCAGAGAAAGTATGTCACTTAATACCCACTAGGATTTTAGATGAACATGGATTCAAGTGTTTGACGAGAGAGCAGCAGAGACCAGGGCAATGCAGACCATACGCTTTGCTCTAGGTAAAGCAGGAGAGCTGAGTGAGGGGACCAGGGGGTGAGGACAGAACAGAACTCGCTGAAGTCCGCACAACTCAGGACTCTGATTGGAGTCTGCCCCACACAGAGACAGGTAGGACCTGGGACACGTACCAAGATATTGAGCTCGGGGCTGGTCATGAGCTCCACCAGCCTGGGCAGCACCAGCATGTCCACCACTTGGTCGATGTGCTCGCTGCAGCCCTCGGTGAGGTAGGACAGGGCCCAGCAGGTGTGGGAGAGCACCTCGCTGTCTTGGTGCTGCAGGAGGTGGCAGAGGCTGGGCAGCATTTGATTCACTGCCGTTTGGCAGGGGTGTGTGTCATGGTTTCGGCACAGGTTGGACAGGGTCCACGTGACGTTCTGCAGAAATGCAACCTGTAACGAGAGACTGCTTTCTAGCGTCAGGTGCAAATGGCAGTATGTCCTTGCCACCTTTGATCAACATTATTGATCAGCGTGAACCAAAGAATTGGAGCTCCAAACAGGAATTTGTCCTCGGTAGTGATGTATCTCTGACAGGGACACAGAAAATGAGCTTCACGTTTCCTACTCCAGTGCTAGATGGAGGTTTCCTGATATTCTCCAAAGTGCCCTTCCCTGCTCGGCTCCACTGACAACCACATCTCAGTTTTCACTGGCAAAACCAAGAGGAGGCAGGACTTCCTGTCCTCCTGCCAATCTACAACCAACGAGTCAGAACCGCATTTCGGATTTCCTGTTCGAGGATTCGTCTTCCTACCCTGCCTCTGAAGTCCAGCACTTTTCATCTCGAAAGATTCCATCCCCAGGACCACCTCACTGTGCCCCCAACCGGGATCACTCCTGCCAGTATGGAAACACACGCCGTGGCCTTCGCCCCTCACCCCTCCAGCCATCGCCCCACTTCTGCTTTCCAGAGTGCACCCTCGAGAAGGCGTCTGCATGCACTCTACCTGGCAGCTTCCTGTCTGAGCCTCTGCCCCTCCTAGTCTGCCCTCTGACCCTGCCTCTTGGTAGTTAGTGATGAAATAGGCTCCTTCCAAGTCACTAAACCCCACGGCTGCTTTCTTTCTGTCCCTGTCAGTTGTAGTCATCACCAGTCATTCCCACTTTGGCATCTGTGACACAGAACCCGGTTTTTCATTGCCGAATGGGCTGTTTCTTTCCAGGGTCCTCGGCAGGCTCTGCCCGACTCCTGAGTGTCAGGGCCCCTGGAACCTGGCCTTGGACTCGCCCTACACTCCAGGTCAGGGATTGGCCAAGTTCTTTGTACAGGGCTAGACAGTAAACGCCTTCAGCTTTGTGGGCCCACGAGGTCTCTGTTACACCTAGCCAGTGCTGCCCTTGTAACACACTGACAATTATGCATGTAAAGGGGTGGGCATGACTGTGTTCCAATAAAACTTTATTTACAAAAGCAAGCTGCTGACCCCTGCCATAGGTTGATCTTGCTCAGCTGGATGACATACGGGTGCACAGGTATCTAGACTTGTATACCCACCCGCCAGACCCTGCCACCATGGTTCCCCTCACTCCCTCCAAGTTAATATGTCCAACTAAGGACATATCTGATTCTTCCTCCCCCCCCTTCCCCGTTTCCCTAGGGGGACAGTCATCTAAAGTGACCTAACCAGAACCTGGGCATCCATCCCTTCCTGCTGTCCCTTCCATGTCTGGCACAGCAGCCTCCCAGGTGCATTGGCTTCCCCATCTCCCTCTGCTGCGATCCTCCCCCAAGCAGCCAGAAAGGCCCTCTGAGAGGTCAGACCACTGCACTTCCAGCCTGAAGGTCCTCCAAAGGCTTTCCTTTGCCACCAGGATGAAGGCCAAGTGCCTTGTCCCACGTGCCGCGTCCCACTGCTTTCTCCTTGCAAACTCTCCTGGCCATAACAGCCATTTTCTGGTTCAGCCACATCAGGTTTTCCCCCACCTCGAAGGCAGGGTGCCTGTTCCCTTGGCTTTGGGGGCTATCTTCTCTTCACTTTTATTTGATGCAAAGCCAGAAAGCAAATTTAATTTCTAATCCAAGGGCCCTCTATTGTCGCCACATTGATCGACTTTGACTCATCTTCAAACCGAAACCTGTGACCTGGGACCGGGATGGGGGAGCTACTACTTCTGTCTGTGCCCTCGAACGGCAGAGCCCAGCCGTCCAATGTTGCAGGACTGTAAGCAGAGGAAAATCTTAATGGACGTTTTCCAATGCTCTTGACAGGAAACAGCCCCACTGCTCCCTAAGGACAAGGAGGGCCGAATTTCTGCCCAAAGTGGTGTTCAGTCCTAGGCCTCATTCATAATCGCCGCCCTAAGGGGCCATGCAGTGACCATGTGACTTAGCTTCGATTTGGAAATACTTCCTCAATTTTCCAACTCTGGGAACTTGTTACCAGCTAGGTTTTCTAATTTAAAGACGATCCCTGGTGCAGCTATTGGTGAGTGGGTAGAGGGGTCAAGCCAAAAAAAAAGGACTTGTGGCCCCATGGACAACCGTGTGATCGTGTGGTCACTGCAGTGGGGAGGGGGTTAAATGGTGGCGGAAAAAATACGATAAACAATAAACAAGAGACTTCCGCCAAGATGGAGGTTTAGGTGGATGTGCCGTGCCTCCTCACACAACCAAGTTTAGGGACAACTAAATATTAGCATCAGAAAACACAACCAGAACACGGAAAACTGAACTTTTCGGAAGTCCGCTAACAACAAATTCTTCAGCCCGACCGGTAAGGGGCGAAACCGGCGTCTGGTGAGGAGTTGCAAAGGAGGGCTCGGTCGGACCCGGGCACGGAATCCAGACGCGCGAATCCAGACGCACGGGTTCCAAACCCAGGATTGGACCTAGTGAGCGACCAAGCAACCCACCGGGTGAGCAACTGCAGAGGAGACAGTGGGGAGGCGGTGCAGCGAGTTGACTGCGGTTGCCTAACTGCGAGCAAGGGAGTGGGCGGTTGGACCGGCTGCGGCGGTGATAGAGGGCGCCGCCATTTCCCCGCTCTGACCACGCCCCCACATACAGCATCACAACCCAGCGACCTGGGAGTCCAAGGCGCAGTTTCTCACATTTAAAGGGCCAGAACAGACCAAAAATGTCGCAGGAAGACCTCAAAGCCCCAGAGATAAATCTAAGCGACGAAGAAATAGCAAAACTCTCAGACGCACAGTTTAAAACACTGGTCATCAGCTTCCTCACAGATCTGGTTGATTATAGCCACAAATTAGAGAAACATATGAAGGCTAAATTAAGGGAAATGAATGGAATTCCACAGGAAACCCATAGAGATGAAAAGGAAACTGGGACTCAAATCAATGGAGTGGACCAGAAGAAACCAAATAATGGCCAAACAGAAAAGAGTCAAGGAGCAAGAATTCAAAGAAATGAGGAGAGTCTTAGGAACCTCCAGGACATCTTTAAACGCTCCAATATCCAAATTATAGGCGTACCAGAAGGGGGAAAGACACAACCACCAGTGGAAAAACTATTTGAACAAATAATAAAAGAAAATTTCCCCAATCTGGCAAAGGAAATAGACTTCCAAGAAATCCAAGAAGCCCAGAGAGTACCAAAAAAGTTGGACTCAAGAAGAAACACACCAAGGCATATCATCATTACATTAGCCAAAATTAAAATGAAGGAGAGAATCCTAGAAGCAGCAAGAGCTAAGGGGACAATCACCTACAAAGGAGTCCCCATCAGACTGTCAGCAGATTTCTCAAAAGAGACCTTACAGGCAAGAAGGGGCTGGAAAGAAATATTCCAAGTCATGAAATCTAAAGACCTACAACCAAGATTGCTCTATCCAGCAAAACTTTCATTTAGAATGGAAGGACAGATAAGGTGCTTCTCAGATAAGACTAAATTCAAGGAGTTCATCATCACCAAGCCCTTATTATATGAAATGTTCAAAGGGACTTATCGAAGAAAAAGAAGTTAAAGAAACATGAACAGTGAAAGAACAACAAGCTCACAGTTATTAACAACCACACCTAAAACGAAAGCAAACTAAAAGAACAGCTAGATCAGGAGTGGAAATATAGAAATGAAGATCTCAAGGAGGGTTAGCAACAGGGGAGTGGGAGGAGGAGATGGGGGGAGAAGGTACAGAAAATAAGTAGCATAGACAGTAGATAGAAAATAGATTGGGGGGGGCAAGAATAGCATGGGAAATATAGAACCTAAAGGACTTGAGACACATGGACATAAACTAAAGGGGGGTAATGGTGGGGTTGGGGGGGCAGGGTGGAGGGGAATGAAGGGGGGAATAGAACAACTGTAACAGCATAATCAATTTTAAAAAATAAATAAATTTAAAAAAAACAATAAACAAACAGACAGACAGACACTCACTGGCGTGGTGGATGAGATCAGGGCCAGCAGGCGTGGGATGGCATCGCTTGAGATGACGACGTCTCTGGATTCTGGGCAGTCACCTACAGACGAATAAGAACAGGACATCAAAAGAGGGGACAGAGAGGATCCTGGGACAGGTGACTAATGTTTAACAGTCTGTGCAAAGCATGAGAGGCCACAACTCATTCCTGGGCTGGGCACCTAGAGAGCGCAGTCCCGAGCTAGATCCGGAGCCTCCAGCCTGTGGGTGTGTGGACGGGCCTGGTGGGGGACCGGGCGCCACACAGCAGCGGCTGCCCTCGGCATAGCCTGCGGGTGCACACAGGAGCCAGCCAGCTGGGCCCAGGCAGGGCTTTCTCAGTGCTACCAGTGCTGACAGCATGGCTCTCAGGAAGACCAGGCCACTGCAGACCAGACTGTCTTCCCAGAAGGCCCAGGGCAGGAGCTTCCAGATGCAGCTCAGAACAGCAGCTGGGAGACGGGCAGGTAGCAGCTGTCCGTGACTTGGGCTAGATCCCTTATTCCTGGACCCCAGGAGTCTCCATGTCTAATTCTTAACCCTTGGGCAAGACATAAGTTATATGGTACCACCCAGTTTTGCCTGGTCCTTACTGAACCCCTCAAAACGAGAGGTTGCTTTATCTGCCCCAGGTGCTTCATTTCTGCAAGTGTTTCAAAAGCAGGCTTAGTTGACATTCTGCGTTTGCTGATCCCAGCATCTGAAGGCCTTGGAGGTCTCATCACACTTTGTTTCTGCTGACTCATGGTCAGGGTAGGTTGTTGATTCTCTGAACTTGAAATCGCTATTGTTTGGCTGATCTTACTTGGTCATATTGCTGAGGGGCTCAGTGGACCTCACTTGCCCCAATGAGCACTGTATTCATAATCAGCCACGAATCGGGCCACTTCCAGCCCTGCGGCACTGTCCTCGGCTGCGCTGTCCTGGACCACAACGGACACAGCCTCAAGTCCCAGCTCCAGAGGACAATTTTAGGATTGTGTTTTCAGGGGAGGCTTTTTCCCCAAAGCGGAGGCAACAGGTTTTTTGTATGTTCCCTTGGCAACTTTCTCTGGAGGTAGAATTTTTTTTTTTTAGGGTCTGGGTTACATAAGGGTCTGTCTGAGCCCAAAGCTTGTCCTTTGTTTCTAAAGCCACTAAGACCCAAGGGGATAGTACCTGGTATCGGCAGGCCCCCAGGTAGTGTATAGTTTGGGGACACGCTGTGTTATCTTTGATTTCAGCTTCCATGTCTGTAGGGCCTCTGAACTTGACGCTGAATTTTGGAAATGCCTACTGTGCTTTCCCCAGCATTTCTAGGCATTTATACTTAAAGTATCAAGGCCAGGATACCACCCAAAGCACTCCCATAGCACGCCCCACAGTCTGCCCGCTATTTCCTTGGCCCCTGAGGGGAGGGTCGCACCTGCGATGTTTCCGAGGGCCCACACGGCGTGCATGCGCACATTGGCATCTGGGGAAGACAGGAGCTCCACCAAGGGCGGGACAGCGCCCTCTTCCACCACGGCTCGCGTCTGCTCCGAGGGCCCCGCGGCGATGTTCGTCAGAGCCCAGGCCGCCTCAAACTGCAGGCAGCGGGGACGGGAGGACCCCAGGAACTCCACCAGCCTGGGGATGAGCCCCGCTTTGACCATCAGCTTCACGGGAGGGTCCCTCTGCTCGGACAGTATTCTCCTGTGCAGTGAAGGGGGTAAACAAAGAAACAGGGCACGTGGAGCCGGAACCAAGAGCCTCCTGGAGCCACGTCCTTGGCATTCCTATCGCCCGAGACAAACAGCTGGGGCAGAGCTACTTAACAGCCCAGCTTTAGCCTAGAGCACTTCGCAGGGAGAAGCGACATTCCCCCATCTGGTATTCACTACCACAGAGATTCTCGGAGAGGCCGATTTAAATGAAGCAACGTGTCTCTGACAACCCTTATATATCTTAAGCGGTTCTCAAGGACAGTGTAGAGGAGGTAGTCACTCTCACTTTTGGAGGGACTAGCCTGTCCTTATGTTGGGTGAGCATTCTGCCACGGGCAAGAAACCAAAAAGGCCATTGGACCTCATTTCTGACCATGAACCTGTAAACAGCAGCAGCCCATGTGGCAATACCTGGCGGCCTGGGCGGCCCGGTAACAGGATTCCGTATCTGAGGCACTCACGCCGCTGATTATTTCTGGCACGGTGAGGCTGACCTGCGAGGACACAAAAATGACTTCCAAAAACTTTCCAAATTTGATTAAAAAATAATCTATACATTTGAGTAGCTTGATGAACCCCAAGTAGAAAAAAAAAAAAAAACAAGAGACCCACACATAAGACACATCGTAATCAAACTGTTGAACGCCCAAACCAAAGAGAGAAACTTGAAAACCTCAAAAAAAAAAAGACGAGCAAATTGTCGTGCATGAGGCCTCCTCGGTCAGAATAAGAGCTGATCCATCACCAGAAAGCAGGGAGACCAGAGAGCAGCAGGATGGCCTATTTTAAATGCTGGGAGACTACTGAGCAAGAGTTCTGTATCCAGCCAGCTATAATGAAGAGGAAGTTAAGACACACCTGGTAAAGGAAAACAGAGAATCCATTGTTAGCAAGTCGACTGGACAAAAAGAGTTCCTCAGGTACTAAAAAGTAGACAATAATTAAAATCGCTTTAAGAAATCAAGAACACCAGTAAAGATGCATATCGGTAAGTACTAAAGACAAAAATATGAAGATGTTTGATTATAACTCTTTTTTACATAATTTAAAAGACAATGCATAAAGCCATAGTTAAAATGATGGGCACACGTGTATAAAGAGGTAACTTTCATCGCAGTAAGAGCACAAAAATGTTTTTAAAAATTAAAACTGTAGGGAAAGAAACAGGAAAATTAAGATATTAAACTATTCAGCACAGAACATGACAGTGATGAAGGAGCAGAGGCACAAAAAGGACATCCTAGCATAATGGCAGACATAATCCCATTTTTATCAGTCATTGCATGTGTAAATACATTAGATGTTCCCAACTAAAAGCAGGGGTTGACAGAATGGATTTAAAAATCATGATCTGCCTGTCAGCTGTCTACGAGAGACACACTTTCAATTCAAAGGCACGAGTGGATTGGCAATAGAAGGACTGAAAACAATATGCCCAAAGAGAGCTGCAGTGGGTAAACTAATGTTAGACCGATCAAACTTTAAGGCAGAAGTTGTTACTGAAGGCAGTGACATTTTATAATAGCTCAGCCATCAGAAAATATTATAAACAAATACACACCTGCCAACAACCTCTAAATCACACATAACAAAAATGAGTGGTATTAGAGAGAGAAATAGAAAAGCCAACAGTAATTTAAAAAACATCAAACTTCCTACTCAATAATAGACAGAACAGCTAGATAGAATATCAGCAAGTTAGCAGGAGACTTGAACAGCACTACGGACCAGCCAGACCTAACACACATTTACACTAAAGGACAGAAAAATGCACGTTCTCTTCAAGGGCGCGTGGAATGTTCTGCATGATAGATCATGTGACATGAAACAGGTCAGCAAATTTATAAGGACTGAAATCATACAAAGTATGTTCTCCAACCACAGTGAGATAAATTAGAAACCAGTAACAGAAGGAAAATTGGGAAATTCACTTATTTGTAGAAGTTAAACGACAACTCAAAGGAGAAGTCACAAGGGAGGGTAGGAAATACTTTGAGATAAATGAAACAAACAACATAGAAAGCCAATAAGATATAGCTAAAGTGCAGCTTCGGGGGAATAGCCATAAATCTATATATTAAAAAAGTAGAAAGAGCTCCAATCCATAATCTAGCTCTACACCTTGAAAAACTAGAAAAATAAGAGCAAACTAAACCCAAAACTAGCAGAAGAAAGAAAACATGAAATACTACACTGGAAATCAATGAAATAGAGAATAGCAAAATGGGAGAGGCAATCAGTGACACCAGAAGTTGGTTCAAATGATCAACAAAATGATAAATCTTTAGCTAGACTGACCAAGAGAAAAAGAGAAGGCTCAAGTTATTAAAACCAGGAATGAAATGACCAGGGTCATTACTACTAAACTTAGAGAAATAAAAAAGATTAGAAACTAGATAAACAAAGTATGCCAACAAATTAGATTATTTAATAAGGGACAAATTCCTAGGAATACACAAACCACCAACAGTGACTCAAGAAGAAATAGAAAATCTTAATAGACCTGTAACAGGTGAATTATTAATGTAAAAAAAAGAGACTTCCATAAAAAGAAGCCTAGGCCCAGACTGTCTTCACTGCTAAATTTTCCCAAATATTTGAAGGGGGGTTAAAGCAATCTGTCATAAACTCTTCCAAAAAATAAAAGATGATGAAACTTTCTTGCTCATTCTATGAGTCTGGCATTACCTTGATATCAAACCAGACAAAGACATTACAAGAAAAAGTAGAGACCAATGTCTCCCCTAAATATTTTTGCAAATATCCTTAACCTCTTCTAGGAGACAGAACGCACCAGCATATGAACAGGATCGCCCACCATGACCAAACGGGATTTAACTCGGGAATGCAATGGTCATCCAACACAGGGAAATTGATATAGTATACAATATTAATAGACTATAGAGGAAAAACACCACACTATTGTCTCAACAAGTGCAGAAAAAGCATCTGACAATCCGGCACCCTTCTGTGATTAAAAAAAAATCGACAAGCTAAGAATAAAAGGGAACTTCCTTAAACCGATAAAAGCAGCTATGAAAACCCCACAGCTGGCGTCATACTTAATGGTGAGAGACCAAAAGCTTTCTCCCTGAGAATCAGGGACAGAACAAGGATGTCCATGCCCATTACTTTTCCTCAGCCTAGTATTGGAAGTTGTAGACAGGCTAATTCTGCAGGAAAAAGAAATAAAAGGAAAGGAAGAAGTAAAATCATCTCTATTTCCAGATGTCACGACTTTGGATGTAGAAAATCCTACACACACAAAAAAATTTGGCCCTAATGAACAAGGTTTAGCTAGGTTGCAGGATTAACATACAAAAATCAATTTCATTTCTATACATTAGCAATGAACAACCCCAAATTTAAAAAAAGACTATTTTATTTATTGTAGCACCAAAAAATATTTGGGAATAACTTTAACAAAAGTATAACAAATATGCTAAAAATTGTAAACAAATGTAAAGAGGACCTAAGCAAATTTCAAAATATCCCATGTTTATGAATGGGAAGCCTTAACATGGTTAAGATGGCAATACTCCACAAACTGACCTATAGATTCAATGCAATTTCCATTGAAATTTGGGTTCATTGAAGAAATTGACAAGCTGGTTCTAAAATTCACATGGAAATGCAAGGCATCTGGAATAGCCGAAATAATCTTCAAAAAGAAACAGTTGGGAGACTCACAATTCCCTGTTTCGAAATCTACTCTAAAACTCTAGTAATCACATCTGTGCTGTGCTGGCATGAGGGTGGACACGTAAATTGATGGGAGAGAATCCAGAGTCCACAAATAAACCATCAAATTTACGGCCAGTTGATGCATGACAAGGCGTTGAGACAGTTCAATGGGGGAAGAGCAGTTTTTTCAACACATGATGTGGGGATGACTGGATAGCTGCACGCAGAACCATTAAATTAGACCCTACTCACACTTACAGAAACTGAAAATGGGCCAGTTACCTAAATAGAAGAGCTAAAACCATAAAACTCTTATGGGAAAAAAAGCAAAGCATAGGTCTCAGGACCTTGGATGAGGCCAGGGAATCTTAGATTTGATACCCGAAGCGCATGCGACTGAAACAAAGAAAAAAGTAGATAAACTGGACTGTTTCAAAATTAAAAACTTTTAGGCTTCAAGGATTCTAGCAGAAAAGTGGAAAGACGACCAGAAGAGTGGGAGCAAATATTTGCAAATCAATTGTATACCTGGTAAGAGTCTGGTATCCAGAATACCTGAAGAACTCTCAAAACTCAAGACTAAAAAGACAAATTACGTGACTTTAAAAAAGGGCAAAGGGTTTAAAATAGACAAAACTCTGAAGAAACAAATACCCAATAAGCTCATGAAACCATGCTCCTTGGTCATTAGAAACACATGTCAGAACCACAACAGCACAGACCCATGCCCGCCCTGGGCGGCTGTAATCCACGAATGTTACCAAAACAAGTGTTGGTAAGAACATCCGAATGTACAACGGTGCAGCTACTTGGGAAAAACAGTCTGGCAGCATTACTTCCTATTGCTACTGTAAAAGTTGCCACAAATCTAGTGGCTTCAAACCCTTCTCACAGTTCTGGAGGCCGGAAAGTCATGATCCATTTCCCTGGATTAAAGCCGCGCTTCCTCCAGAGGAAGCTTCTAGTAGGGCTGCCAGTGTCCCTTGGCTTGTGACCCTTTCCTCCATTTTCAAAGCACAGCACACTAGTGTCTGCTTCTGTCACCTGTCTCCTTCTGCTCGGACTTGCCCTTCATCCTTCAGCTGATGGATGAAGGATTGATGCAATTACATTGGGCCCATCAGATAACCCAGGACGATCTCCCCAATCTTGAGATCCTTCCTGTAAACATATGCACAAAGTCCCCTTCATCATACAAGGTAACACCCACAGGTTCTGTGGATTAGGAGATGGAGACCTTCAGGCGGTGGGGGCGATTACTCAGCCTACCATAGGCAGTTCCTCAAAGGGTTAAAGGGAGTCACCATATGGCCCAGCAATGCCACCTGTAGGTATGTGCCCAGGAGACTTGGGAACACGGTCTCCTAACAACCAGTGCGCAAATGTTTATAGCGGCGCTGTCCATAACAGCCAAAATGTGGGAACCACATTAAATGTCCACCAGCTAGTAAGTGGACAAACCAGAAGTGGTCTCTCCACACAAGGAGATGCTATTCAGCCCTAAAAGAAATGAAAGGCCGACCCCAGCTATGACGCCCCTGAACCTTAAAAACATGATGCTAAGTGAAAGAAGCCAGTCATCAAAGGGCGTGTATTGTATGGTTCCATACATATGAAATACCCAAATAGGTCAATTCAGAGACAGAAAGTGGACGCATGGTCAGCAGAAGCTCGGGGGAAAGGAAGAAGGACCCAGGAGCGACTGCTGACTGGGTGTGGCGTCTCCATTTGAGGTGCAGAGTCTGTTCTGAAATGATCTAATGGGGATGGTGGTGCCACCTGGTGAATGTACCAGAGAACAGCGATTATAGACAGAAGGAGAATTCCAAAGGACGTAAACTATATTTCAGTATTTTTAGTCATGGTACTATAGGACAAAAAGGGAAATGACTCTTCCATAGTTTCATCTTTCTCGGATGGGGGGAATTTTAGGGACTATTCTAGGTAAAGGAAGGCATGTCAAGACACGGCTCTGAGCCCCTCGATCATTCAGAGTGGTCGCGGCCACTCTGCGTGATGGCCCAGCGCCCACCATCGAGTCTACCAGTCCAGGCTAGAGCCGTCTTCGCTCCCCGGGGTCGCAAAAGGCAGGTAGACACAATGGCCAGTAGATATAATGCCACTGGAGGTGGAGAAGGGAAACCTCCAGGTCAGGCCATTCCACAAAGGATCACAAAAACCAAGGGCCTGCAAGCCACCCCTTGGGTCTGTACCAGCGAGGCTGGGGGGCAGGGGGGGAGCAGAGAGGGGAAGGCCGGGAGGGGCAGGCAGCACTCAAGGCCTAGGCAAGACCTTCCACGGTGAGTAACTGGCCGCCTCTGCTGGGACTCTCCCTGCCTGACCTTCATCCCCTGCTTCTGGCTGAGGGACGGCAAGTGGGGTCTTCTGGATCTGAAGCCGCACTTTCCCTGTAGGAGAAGCAACATCCCAGACTCACAGCCCCAGAGGTGGTGGCCCGTGGCTTTCTGACGACACCGGTATGGCCCTGACTACGATCTCTCCACTCCTCCTTCCAGGCCCCCATCAGAGCTGGCAGGTTCTGAATCAAACATTTCAAGCTGGAGAAAGTTCCCAAGGCCATAGCTGACACATGACTGCTGCAGAAAACACACATTCCCAACGTACCCGGTTGGTCTCTTCTTGAGAAGCTGGGTCAGTGGAGAGACCAATGATGTTTCTCCTCTTGGAGACCTGCTCATCCTTCTTGGCCTTCCGGAGCTGCACGCTGGCTGCTCTCCGCTGCCGTCGCTGCACCTGGCAAGGGAGGGACAGAACTGGAGTATGACAGCTGGGAGCTTGGGGTGTTGCCACGTCAGCCTTCCACGCACGCTAACAACCTCTGACTTCACTTTCCTGGTTCAACAGGCCGGAAGAGTTAATAAGATGGCACCACTAGCAAGTAGTCCCAGCTCCCTCTCTTGCCTCTGCTTTCTCCTACTACCCCACGTCTAGGAGAATAAGCAGCCTTCCTCCCAAAGTCCAGGAAGATCAGGCACACGCCCGACGGGCCAGGACCCTCAGCTGCAGAGACCTCTGAGCAGAGTGTCCTGTGGCCCCGAGTCAAGGGCACCTTCACTGGCGCCCATTGGTTCTTGAAGAGCAGGCCTGGACCTTCCAACTCTGGGGATCCAGGTGCGGCTGCGAACGGACCTCCCAGGCCCAGGTGTCCCCAACCATGTCCGCTGGGATTGCATCCCCTCTCCGGTCATTCAAATCTTAGTCCAGTCTCACGAGGTTTTACTTGGGACACCAGACGGAGGGAGATTAAAATTTAAAATAAAAACAAGCCTTTTCTCATGTGGCGCAACACTCAGGCTTTGTAGTACGGAGAGTCCCGGAGAAATGATCTCCCCTGTGTTGACAGAGGAGTTTTAGGCTGAAGACTTGAGGATTAATTTAAGAAAGTTTATGTGTATTAGATACTTCTGGCTCCTCCAATGAGCCATGTGGTTCTTGCTAGGAAACAGGGTCACTCGGTGTTACTGGGCAAGGCAGGAGCGTGCTTGCGGCCCCGCCCCCTGCATCCTCCTTTCTCATCTCCTGGCCCTTCCTGCTGCTCCCCACCAGGAGGGTTCGACCCCTTCGTTTGGTTCCCGTAGTCTGCAGTGGTTGTGGAAGCCGGACAGCCAGGCCCACTGGACAGGGCGTGAGAGTGAGGCGGCTCCAGACGGTGCCCTAACCAGGGGCCTTCCGGACTCCCCAGGTGTTTGTTGTCCATCACACTCAAAATACATGGGTGTGGGACTCAGAGCTCCAGCCCCAAACTGAACCCAGAGAGGCAGAGTGGGGGTTCGAATCCACACAGGACTCAGGCACCCTGCCCCAGGCCCTTGGGCTCAGCCCAGCAGTCCAGCTCCAAGCCCTGCTTCTGCACGGCGCTCCGGTCGGCCGCGGCTCCTGGCTAAGCCTCCCTGACGTCAGGGCTGCAGGTGAGCATCTCCGTGCCAGGCATGCAGGCTACTCTCCGGTCCCTGCAAGGGAGGCACCGCCTGCTCTTCACACGGAGAAGCTGAAGCTCTGGAGCCAACGGCTCCAAGTTCACATGGAGGCCTTGACTTCGGGCCTCGGCTGCGTGACTCCTCGAGTCCTTGAGCTCTCGTCCTCCTCACTCTCGACATTTTACGATGAAAATGTCAAACAGACGGGGAAGTTGAAAGGATTATTTGGTGAACGCCACTCACCTGTCCACAATGAACATTGTGCTATATTTGCTTTTTCCCCTAACTCTCCACTAGTTTTCTTTTACTATTCACCTGAGGATACACTTTTTTTTTCATTTATTGATTTGAGACAGAGAGGGGAAGGGAGAGGAACACTGATGTGACAGACATCCATCCATTGCCTCCCACACATGCCCCGACCAGACCCGGGCATGTGTCCTGACCCGGGCATGTGTCCTGACCGGGAATCGAACCTGCAGCCTTCTGGTGTATGGGAAGATGCTCCAGCCAGCTGAGCCCCCCAGCCAGGGCCACTCTATTTCTGATGCACTTCAACCATGTGCTTTTCACTGCGCTCGTCTTTGATGGGGCAGGGCGGTTGCCTCATACTCACAGCCGTGTCTTTGCCTCGGTATTTAAATTTTCTCAGCCTCTCTCCTGGAGCTTCCAAAGCCGACATACTGACTGGAAGAAGTAAACCACCTGTAGGTAGGACAGTCACAAGGAGATTTTCAGTGCCCAGTGTGTGGGTCACCTTGTTAAACCCACCCAGGCCCCAAGCCCTTAAAGGGCTCCCAGTGGAACAGAGGGCAGGCTCAGGGGGTCTGCTTCCTGGGGTGTCGCCACGCCAGCTTGGCAGGCGAGGAGCACCATGGGGGCTCACAGGGCACCAGTCCTCAGCTGCACATAGAAGGGAAACCTTTCAGAGGCTTGAACAGGCCCTTTGATGTCTAGGGTGGGCTGAAAATGAAGCCCCAACCCCTTCCATGCGGCTGCGTCCAGGGAGTTCTCTACAGAGCACAGGTGCAGGATGGCGAGGGGTCCCACTGGCCGGCGGGAGGAGAGGGCCCTCCCCTCCACACACCCCATTTACCTGGCCCACTGGGTCAGGACAGTCCCAAGTGTGACCCACGCCTTTTAATTCTTTAGCAACTAGCCCACCGCCACCAGCCCACCGCCAACCCACCAGCCCACCGCCATCTTTCAGTCACACTGCGGCAGTCACCTCCCAACTTTTCTCCCTGCTTCCGCCACTGCCTTATTCGAATCTGTTCTCTACACAGAAGCCATGTGATCTTTGAAAGGCAAGAATCTGATCATGTGATTTCTCCCACTTACAAACCCTCTACTGGCTGCCCATTGATAGGAGCCAACTCAAGGTCCCCAGGACGCCCTGCGTGAGCCGGGCCCGGTCCACCGTCCCACCCGAGAGTCTGGGTTCTCCCCACTCTGTTCGTTTCATTTGCTCCATCGCTCTTTACCACAGCCCAGTGTTTTCTTGTTTCTCGTGCATGTCCACTGCTCCCGACAGCAACGGGACTGTGTGTCTCACGTACGATTCCTCAGGCCCGTGACAATGCACGGTGGACAGCAAGCAGGTTCTCAAATACTTGTTGGGGGATGGTGGTGGGTGGTAAGGTCACAAAGGGAATTGTCCCTCAATGAGCGGACGTTATTAAAATCATACCAAGTTTGAACTTTCTACAAGGACACAGGGAAGGAGCTTTCTTAAGAGGAAGTTGGGTGAAGAAGACCAGAGTCTACCGACTCTATTCTCGAGTGGATAACAGCTGAGAGTAAGTTTGGTGGGGGAGACAAATTTAGACACACCAGTTTGGAAGGGAGAGTGTGGACAACTTGGAGAATTCCATGAGTGAGGAGAGAGCCAAGACTCATGTCTTAGGAAGAGGGATGAACTCTCTATGAGAACGGGCCAAGAACTGAGTCTTGGCGACATTCACATTAGCGTCCAAGAGAACCGAGAACCAGCGAGAGACCAGGAGGACAAACGGAACTGGAGACAGAACGACAGAACGGGCCCTGCTGGGAACAGCTGGCTGCTAGGCCAGGGACAGGTCCCAAGACCAAAACACCACCAGCCACAGCATGTCAGCTGTGCTTTGTTGGGGTGACAGGGCCGGTTTTAGAGTCTCCTTAGGAGCTTGAGCAAGGATAGCCTACACCCCAGTCTGCAAAGTTGCGAATGAAATATGCAAATGAACATGCACATGACTTCCTGGAGCTGACCCCTCCCCCAACACAGGCCCCAGAACAGCTGGGGCTGAGGAAGTGGAGGGTGAGAACCTTTCAAAGGAACAGCAAGGAAGCTCTCAACTCCTCTGCTGACCTGAAGAGGCCATGCTGGCCCCCTGCCCCATCCCCACCCGCCCCCAGAGCACAGGGGCCCTCAGCAGCTGTATATTGAGCAGGAGAAGCACCTCACAGGAATTGGCTTAAAACAGTCTCAGGCTTTATTTGATTTCAACTCAAAGTTGGAGCTGGAGGCAGCTTTACCTGCAGCAACACGTCAGTAGCCAGCAGGTCAGGCGAGGGGGACTGTGTTGTGGGACCATCTCAGCCCGGAAGCTCAGGCCAGAGGGTGACCGTGACCTCTCCTTCCCTCTACACTTCCAGGTAATCTCAGTGCTGCCCCAGAAAGAAGAAAAGACTCGCTCTTCGTGACCGAAAGGTAAATCGTTGCTATGAATTCTGACCCCCCAGAAAACACCACCTCAAAAGTTCTCCAGCTGCTGTGATCACCAGTTTGAGGAGGGTTATCAGGGGCAGCCTGAGGTTTGGGTTCAATGAGGCACCATAACCTCCACCTCCAAGAGAGAAGATGTGGCATTTTATTGGTCGGGAGTAGACTAGCTTAGGGGCCTATTTCAGAGATCGAGGGCCAGACACGCTGCCTGCCTGCCGGAGCGCTGGGCACCGAGGAGTAGATGAAAAGACATCAGCAGTCAGGTGGAGACGGTCGCAGTTTGCGGGTGGGAAAACATCTGACGTCACTCCCCACAGAAACCCAGAGCCCCTCACTACTGCGCACCAGAGCCGGGCCTCCAGCCTCCACGCGCCTGGCCCCGGCGTGAGGCTCAGGTCACTTAGCTTTGCAGCAAACACTCTGAAAAAGAGGTCCGGTGAGGAAAACACCAAGTCGCCACCACGCATGGCACTTAACATGTGGGGCGAGACGCTGGAAAGCAGGAAAGCGCACGTTTTAGGCAACGGCAGCCGTGGAGGCCCCCTTGTTGCCGTCTCACCCGCTGTCAGCAACCTGCCGGCTCAGTTCCTGAGACTGGACGTGCATCGGAAAGGAGTTCGGTGCAAGGAGAGAAAACGCCTACCTCTAGGACCTCTGCCATCGGAACCTTTCATCCTTCTGCCACAGTCCAGGGGGTATGGCCGCAAGGAGCCTCGGCATGGAGTCAGGGTTCCAGAAGGCAGCTGCTTTCCTTCAAATCCAATATCGAGCATGAGGCAGCATGAGCGGGGCGGGGTGGGGGGTCCTCTCCTCTCCCTGAGGCGTTTTGAGGGAGCAGTTTAAAGATCACAGATTTGGCCAGACCACTTCATCTGGAGACAGTCTGCAAAGCCAGCTGCGAAAAGAGCCCTTCTGGCTCTCCCAGGCCTCCCGAAGGGGTCTCCTCCCTCTCGCTGCTATTGGCAGCAGCTAGGACATCGCGCAACCCTGTCATCCTTCACCCGCAGCCTCCGGATTTCAGCTCCCAGGAAAGCCAAGCTGTTGTTTAGCCAATGCCGCCAAACTGCAGGGCTGTACCTACACCCCGCCCCGGCCACGGGCTGGCTCTGCTGCTCCCCACACAGACCCCTGCCCTGGGTGTCAGGAGGCAAAACCAGGCCGAGGGTGGCTAAGTCTTGTTCATGGTCCCACCACTTTTTCTGGTTGGGACATTACAGGACATTTGGGGGGTTTTTCTATGTTTGGCTCGAGGTAGCCAAGCTTTGACTGTGAGCATCTTTCATGAACCAAGAACTGCGTGAAATTAAGATCTATTTCAACATCCAAGATTTGGCTTCTCTAAAGCAGCATTTTTCTATTTTCAGTTAACATAGCCTTCAGAAATGTGCTGAGCATGAACTCCCAATGACCCCACTTGTCCACCAGGCTCTGAACCCTCCACCACCGTCTGCACGCCCCAGCGCTCATGCACGGAGGGACACAGCTAATTACAGAGGGGGGACTAGCCACATGGTTTGGGGACACGTTTCTGCCCCGCGCCTGTACGGTGGGCATCTTCGATGTCAGTATGTTGAGATCTACGTCACTAACAGACATTTTCAAACAAAATGGGATTTGTTTGAAGCTAAAACTGCATGTGGGACTGGGGCTTATTCCCCGGGAAGGCCTGAGCCGACGCTGCTCCGAGGCCACAGGTCAGCACGCAGACGCTGAGGGGCTGAGCTAGGGGCACCGTCAGGGGTCGCTGGACCCCGAGAAGCGGGCCCGTCTCAGCATACTTTGGGTCCCCGCAGGCCTCTGCCGACGTGGGTAAGACAAGTCCAGATGCCACGTTCCATGTAGGGAGGCACAAAGGCGGGTCACCCTCAGGGCGCACACTGGCCGGGAGGGGAGGCCGCTGTCACAACAAAGGAGGGGGCAGGAGACCAGGCCCTCTCCCCGGTGACCCCACCTCCCAGGCTCGGGGAGGCTTTGTGAGGGGGTCAAACTGGGTGGAAAGCTCCCCCAGGTGAGCGTGTCGGAGGGACAGTCCAGGGGAGGGGACACAAGCACAGGCCACACAGGCTGCCGTGGGGTCACACACGGCTCACACACCGGGAGAGCCCCCCCCCCGGGCTCTGGACAGCGAACGGACACCCGCATCTGCCACACCGTCCTCACCCATCCTGGAAACAAGCCAAGGGCCCCGAGCACAGTTTCCGTAAACCAAGGCCAATTCCGACCAGGAGTCACCCCGCCGAGGCCACCTGGGAGCCTCGGGCTCCGGGAGGACCGCAGCGCCGCACTGGGGTCCCCAGGCAGCTTCACGCTCATTACCTGAACAAGAGCAAGGGGGCTGGTCAAGCCTTAGAAAGAGGGCCCGGGGAGCTCACAGCCACCCCAGGGGCCCTGGTGCCCTCACACACGAGGGTGCCGGCGACTCACCTGGCAGGGAGGTGCAGCTTCCGTCTGCCCTCTGCAGGAGGCAGGTGTCTGGGGGCATTTAGCCCGGCCCCACTGGGTTGCTTTCTGACTTAAGCCAATTGCTCTTATTCTGGATGCGCATTGGAATCACGTGAGTAGCTCTGAACACGCTGCGTGCCAGGGCCTTGGCCCAGAGATGAGCTGGTCTCAGTGGGGGCGGGGGCGGTGGGGGAGGCCTCCAGGTGATTCTCACTGCCGTGAGGTGCAGGCAGGAGCCTCGGAGCTGGGGCCTGCAGGCTCTGCAGCTGCAGCCTTTTCAGACCCTCAAATGAACTATTAAAGGTGAGGGGCAGGGGCATCTGCCTCCAGGAAGGGTTGCGTTCTGGCTGTTCAGCTTTGGGGATGGCCAGAGTGAGAGGCCCCTTCCTAACTTCCCAGCAGAGGGCTTAAAGCTGATGTCGAGTGGTAACAAACGTTTGTTCCCATGGCAAGAAGATAGGGTGGTGGGTTTGCTTTGCATTGAAGTGGAAATAGGAACAAACTTGCATGTATTTATTGAACAAATATTTAGTCTCCACTGTGTGCCGGGCCCAGGGACGACATCGTGAGCAAGGTGACGTGGTCCTTGCCCTCCCAGCACAGTGGAAGCAGAACAGCTACTGGGACAACATAGGGCTGGGGAGGTCAGGGAGGGCTTCCTGGAGGAGGCATTGCTGAAGCCAAGTCCTCAGAAAAAGTAGGAGTTGGCAGGTGAAAAACTGTGAGAAAGACAATGCAGGCAGAGGGAATAGCCTGGGAAAAGACTCTGAGGCAAGGCAATGGCCACTGTTCCCAGGAAACAGGCCACCCAGGACTGTCAGAGAAGTGATGGGGTCAGGGCTGGTGTAGGGCTGTCCATCCTGGTGCAGGCAGCAAGGTGTGGCCCTGTCTGCAGCAGGTTTAAGCCAATGATCAACCGGCTGCGAGTCTGTTTGCCTTCTCTTAGCACAAGCCAGGAACTCTGAGGCGTTGGCGAGCCTCACCCACCCTGTCCCTCTCTTTCCAAGGGGGTCTGCACTTTGTTCTGAAGCAGCAGGGAGCCCCAAGGCCTCAGCAGGGTCGTGCGGCCTTTGTGTCCTGTTTACTTTTTTAATTCTGGAAAGTTCCAAATCCATAAAAGCAGAGAGAACAGTGCAAATGAAGCTCCAAGTGCCTGTCACTCAGTCCCACGCACCACCATCTCCTCCCCTCCTCACCCCCCCCTCATCTCCTATTGATTAACTTTTGCTGGAGTATTTTAAAGGAAATCTCAGACATCAGATCGTTGCTCCCATATTCAGGGCAAATCTCTAACAGACGAGACTTTAAAAACTGAAACCAAGAGACCCCGACCACATCTCAAAATCACCAGTCACTCTGAGTGCATCGGTTTGAAATGTTTAGGTGAGCCTCGTGGAGGTGGGAGGAGGAGGAGGAGCAGCAGCAGCAAGGAGGCAGCTGGGGAGACAGGAGGGAGAGAGGAGGGTCTGAGCCCAGGCCGCTCTGGGAGGCGAGGGGTGTGGAGAAGCTCGGGCTCTGAGAGGGTGAACTGTGGAGTTCAGGGGCGGACCCTGGTGGCCAGGTGCCTGATGGACCTGGAGGTGGGGACACAGCGAAGGCCAGTCAGTTTGGAGTTGGGCAGGACTTAGTGACCATTGGAGGGGGTGGTGGGGGACAAAGTACAGCCACAGTTGATGCCACAGATTTAAGCTGAAATGTCTGGCAAGTGGTAGTGTCAGCAGTGGGGGTTCATGATGATGTGAGCAGGCCGGGCCCCCGCAGGATCCAGGGCGACTGCAGGGGACTGCCCAGGCCTCCCTGCTGTTTACAGTGGCCCCGGAGGCCCGTGGCGTTGGGGGGTTCCCTGGCAGGGAGGAGTACTCAGCATTGCTGTCGCTGTCGCTGCCGCTGATGGTGGAGAGCACAGGGCGGCACTAGAAGCGAACTGATTTCTGCTTGTTCCTGTGGTTGTTTGGAGGTGCTCCCCTTGTTGTCCACACCCCTGGCTGAATGCATTCACCGTTCCCCCAACTTGGAACATCACTACTTATTTATACACACCTGTGCATTCTATATATAAAAGAGGTTTTTAAAAAGGAACCCCGAAATTGGAGAGTTGCTGGCACAATTCCTCAGGGGTCTAGAGAGGTCTCATGCTCAAGGTCAGTCTTTGGGGATCCACTGGCCCCTGCGGAAGCTGCTGGTAATCACCCTCGGCCTCTGCACTGGGAGCGTGTGTGAGCGCATGTGCGTGTCTCTCTATGTGTGCACACCTGTGTGTGCATGTGCTCACATGTGTCAGAAAGTCTCCAGGTTCTGGAGGGACTTTACCTTCCCAGATGCTGACACTCACCGAGCCAGTTTTAGACTCTTGGTAGCTGCTCTCTGGCCCAGAACCAGGGGGTGAGGAGGGAGGGGGGTACAAGGGAAAGGAAAAGACCGTGGGAAGATGGCAAAGGAAACAAGGGGCTGATTCTTCACCAGAGGGTCTCTGGTAAAATCGGAACCCGAAATCCTGCACACGGTCGTTACTTCCTAAAACGAAGTTCTGTTTTTCTTCTGTTTGGGCCTCTGAGTAGCAGAAGCAGAAATCACTCCCAGAGTTTAGGGTTGTGGGTGGCTGTGTCTTCACATCAGGTACCTCAGGACATGGGCTGTGGACAAGGCTCCCTCTGGGGACAGCTACCAGGCACCCCTCTGCACCAGGCAGGCTCCCTGCAGCCAAGGAATTCAGAACTCACAGCTGCCGTGGCGGGAGCGCCTGGGCTCCACCAATCACACCGGGCCTTTGCGTCCACGATGGTCACCTCGCCTGTGCAGCGGCCTGGTGAAATAGGTGGGGTTATCATTCCAGGTGAGAGAGCGAGGCAAGTCTTCCAGGACAGCCCTGTGTGTCCAGCCTGACGCTGCCACTCCCTGCGATGGCTCTGTGGGGACACGCTGTCTTCACAGAGGGCAGGAGAATAGGAGGAGACCAAGGCCAAGGTTTGCTGCAGCCCAGCCCCTGGCCCCAGGACAGTGCCCCAGGATACGCTGAATGGACGGATGGAAGAATGAATGGACAGGTGAATGGATGATCCCGGAGGGCGGGGGGATGATGAATGATGGACGGATGAATGAATGAGAGCCCACCCAGAGGAGCTGGAGTTTGAATCCGCCTGAGCTTTTCAGACACTGGGCTCTACTCACCCTTGCAAGACACACAGAAAGTAGACTCTCCCTTTAGGAAAATAAATACTTCTCAATGAAGGGGATGATGCTGGGGGCTGGGTGGAGGGGGAGATGAAAAGTTGAATTTTTGACCTAATGTGAAAGGGACACTTTAGTGTCAAATAAAATTAGGGAGCTATAATCTTAAATGCAGAAGGAGAAAGAAAGCAATGCAGCTGGAGAGATCTGTCTTCAGCAGCCTTGGCCACCATATTTCTAGGATCCCGTCAGATGCATGATTCACTAGAAAATCTCCAGTTGGCTTGGAATCAGACATTTTCAAGCTGGGCTGAGTGCGGAGAACTCCTTGCCCAGGTCCCAGCTGGTCTCTGCCGCAGTTCCAGAGCCTTCTGCTCAGAGGAGCCCGTTCCGGCCCCCAGGTTCCATTTCAGAGCCTGCAGAATAATTCCAGGGGTCTCAGGGACCAGGGGCCCGATCTGGGCTCAGACTCCATGTCTGTGTCTGATCTCCAAGCAGCATGCTGGGAACTTGGCTCAATTTGCCAGGGTGCATCTCACACCTGTCCTGGGAGGGAGGGCGCTAGTCCCCCTTCCTCCAAGGTGCCAAACCACAGCTGAAAACGCAGCTTCTGGAATGTGCCAGGAGGGACCTTCCACCACTACCCTGGGGGGGGGGGGCCGGGGAGTGAGCCGGGAGGAAAGCCTCTGACGTGCATTTGCTTCTCTTTCCTAAAATGTAAGTTCACATCCTTAGAACATCTCTTCTCATTGAAAAGACCTCAGGCAATACTGGTAAGTTTAAGGAAAGTTGGACAACAGATCACCTGAGATCCCACCACCCAGACGAGCAGACGCGATCAGCTGGCCGAGCAACCTTGCGGTAAGTTCTCAGTGCATCTATCTGTTCACGAAACGGACTCGAGCTGTTCTAAAACCTTTATTGATTTATTTATATTTTTATTTTTTATTCTTATCCAAGGACATTTTTTCACTGCTGTTAGAGAAGGATGAAGGGGGGCAGAGAGAGAGAGAGAGAGAGAGAGCGAGACGTCAGTTCGAGAGAGAAACATCCATCGGCTGCCTCCCGAATGCACCCAGGTCGGGATAGAACCAGGACCTTTCGCTGCCCAGGACCACACTCCAACCCACTCAGCCACACCTGCCGAGGCTCTGTAACCTTTTTTAAAAAAGACCCAGTGTGCTGTGGTCCTTGTTCTGTGCCCACAAACATGAATTTACATTGTCGATGAAAAAAAATTGTACCTTTATTTAACTTTCGACTCACTTTATTAACTAAACCTCTGTGGGTGGACAGTTAGGTTGTCCCCTACTTTTTGCTCTCACGATGTGACCCCTCCAATAGTGGCTTCCTGCAGAATTTCCCCTTCTGCTTCCTTCTACAGGAAACCAGCTCAGAGCAGCCTGAAGGAAGGAGGGACAGAGAGGAGAGAGGAACTGAGAAGGTGGGGAGGAGGAAGGGCTCTGGGGCCTCTAGACAAGTCCCCCAAAGACCTGAGGCAGGAGTCTGGTGGCAGCCAGAAGCCTCAGGCAGGTCTCGGCTGCTCTTCGCCAGAGCAGAGGGTTCCAGAGCCTACGTATCCCAGAGGGTTGGGTTCAGCCTGTCCCTGTCCCCACAGCCTCATAACAACCTACCCCCCAAGACCGAGTAAAGTGTGGAGCTGGGACAGGGTGAGAGGGGGCAATGACATGCTTGCTCCCAGAGAGCCCCGGGGATCAGGCTGCTGAGGACAAGACCGGACCGGCACCGGCAGAAACCGGCCGAGAACAGTGAAGCACGAGGAATAAGCTCTGATTCTGTTCTCTCGCTCCCTGCACCTGCCCCAAGCCTAGCCATGGGAACTCGGGGCTCCTACCCTTGACCTCGCTGAGAGAAGCCTGATGTTTCCCAGGGAAGCAGCCCAGGATAAACACACTGCCGATGGAGGGGGAGTTCTTGGGGTTTCTGTTCTGAGTGCTCCGGAGAGACCCTTAACCTGTAGGCAGCATACTACCCCTTGGAAGCACTTTAAAGAGAAGCCACAGACCAGGAAAAAGTACTGACAAAGCACGTATCCCACGGCAGCCCTGTCCCTAAATATGTAAAGAGCTCTCACAATTCAATAAGGAAACAAACTACTTGACGATAAAAAACGGGCAAACAAGGAGCAGACACTTCACCAAAGAAGACCTGTGAGTGGCAAATAAGCATGTGGGAAGACGGTCCCCATCGTTCTTCGGTGATGAGTTCAACAATTTAGAAAGCACTTTCGAGTCCTCTTCCCACTTGCTCATTCTACCAGTTCTGTGAGGTTAGTTGTCGTTATTATTGATTCCCATTTTATAGTGAGGAAATGGAGGCTCGCGGTGCTGAAGTGAATTGCCCCAGGTCAGAACGGAGACTCAAAGCAGGGAGCTTTTTCCACTCGGGAGGTTTCTGCGTTCTAAGAATGTTCTAGAAACCTAACACTCAGTAGCCAATTGGACAAGGTCATATTTTTCATTTTAAACAAGGAGAGAAGACCACATCCCACCCACACCCTCCACCATCCTGACCAGCCTCATAGGTGGTAGGACCCAGCAAAGGGCCTGCCCCTATGGGTGCCCAGTAAAGTGGGAGCACGTGGTGCTTGAATGGCCAAATCGCAGTGTTCTTGCAGGCTGGGAGAGGCCCGCCCTGTGGACTGACCACGACTGGGGCTTTGCTTCCTAGAAAGGGCGCCTGTTCCAGGGACGGCTGGTCCCAGCCCAGGGCCTGGCTGCAGCTTCAGCTTCCTGGCCCTGGGTTTGGACAGGGGCTTGAGGTGCTGCGATGGACCTTGACCGGGAACTCGGCTCCAGCTGAGGGTCCGGGCCCTGGTCCTGGTGCTGGGGCCCTCCAAGGGCACAGGGTATGGGGGACTTCGGGCTGGCAGAAGGAGAGGAGGGCGCAGGATGACCCACGGCACCTCTCCCCCACCTTGGCCCCCTGTAGCTCCTCTGTCCTCCCCAGTCTGTCGCCCGTCACAGTGCTCAGCACAGTGCTCCTCTGCCAGAGACCAAGAGGCGATGCTCGACTCCTGGGAGGCAGAGATATTGGCCAATCAGCTGCATGCTTTTGCTAGGATCTAGCAAAGAGCTTGGCACAGAGCTCAAGGAACTGGGAAAAGGAGGAAGAGGGACCAGGGTGGGGAGAGATCGGCAGGTACGGGCTAGCAGGCCCAGCGGGCCTGTTCCTCACGCTGGCCGTTGGGGGCAGGGCCCGGCATTGCTGTGTGTGGACGTCAAGAACAGCTCCCACCTGGACTCCCACTCGAACAGACCACTGCTCTCACAGTCTTTGTCCCCGCCCCACGGACCTGGCTCTCGTTCATTCAATGAGCATTGATGGATCATCTGTAGCCTGTTTACACACATGAAGTCATTTAATTCTCAAAATGAGTCTACTTGCCAAGTGCCACGATTATCCCCATTTGACATGCAAGAAAACTGAAGCATGGAGAGGTCACAGCGCTAGTGAAGGGCAAACCCAGAGAATCCAGATTCAAGGTCTAAGTTCTTGACCACCACAATCTCCTGCCTCCCAGTAGAGAGACCAAGCCACATCCCTGCCCTCACCTTGCTTAAATTCTATGGGGGAAGGAACCCAGAAATCATCTGATGGATTATAGTTCAATGGTGATAAGTGCTAGAAAGAAAAACAAAGCCATGTCTTGGACACTGAGTTGTGTCTTTGGGCAAATCACTTCACTCTTCTGGGCCTCTGTTTTTTAATCTGATAAAAGTAGGTCTTTTTTTTTTTTTGCACATATCTGTCCAATTTTCGCAACACTGTTTATTGCCTTAGACTGTCTTTATTGCCTTGTATGCTCTTGCCTCCTTTGTTGAATAAAACTGACCATAAAAGCATGGGTTTATTTCTGGACTCTCTATATTCTGTTCCATTGATCCATGTGTTTGTTTTTATGCCAGTTCCATGCTGTTTTGTTTACTATGGCCTTGTAGTATAGTTTGATATCAGGTGGTGTGATTCCTTCAACTTTGTTCTTTCTCAAGGTTGCTGCGCCTTTTCAGGGTCTTTTGTGCTTCCATATAAATTGTTGGAGTATTTGTTCTAGTTCTGTGAAATATGCCAATGGTATCTTGACAGAAATTGCCTTGAATCTATAGACTTCTGGGAATTATAGATATTCTAATGATATTCATCTTTCTATCCATGAACATAGTATATGCTTCCACTTATTTGTAACTTCTTCACTTTCTTCCTTCAGTGTTGTAATTATCTGAGTACAGGTCTTTTACATTCTTGGTTAAATTTATTCCTTGAGATTTTATTTTATCTTATTTTATTTTTCATGCAATTGTAAATGAGATTTTCTTAGTTTCCCTTTCTGATAGTCTGTTATGGACTTATAAAAATGCAACTGACTTCTGGATATTTATTTTGTGTCCTGTAACTGAGTTTATTGATCAGTCGTGGTGGTTTTGTTGGAGTCTGTAGGGTTTTCTATGTACAATATCATATCATCTGCAAATAATGACTGTTTTCCTTCTTCCTTTCCAATCTGGATGCCCTTTATTTCTTCTTCTTGTCTGATTGCTATGGCCAGGACTTCCAGTACTATGCAGAATGAGAGAGGTAAAAGCAGACATCCCTGTCTTGTTCTTGATCTTAGTGGAAATGTTTGCAGTTTCTGCCCATTGAGTATGAAGCTGGTGGTGGGTCAGTTACATACGGCTTTTACTATGTTGGGATATGTTCCCTCTGTTCTCACTTGCTGAGAGTTTTTATCATAAATAGGTACTGAATTTCACCAAATGCTTTTTCTGCATTTATCAAAATAATCATGCGATTTTATCCTTGATTCTGTTTATGAGGCATATCACATTTATTGATTTGTGAATATTATACCAATCTTGCATCCCCAGAATAAATCCCACTTGGTTATGGTGTATAATCTTTTTAATGTGTTACTGGATCTGGTTTGCTAATATTTTTTTGAGGATTTTAGCATCTATGTTCATCAGGGTTATTGGCCTATAATTTTCTTTCTTTGTAGTGTCCTTATCTGGTTTTGGAATTAGGATAATGCTGGCCTCGTCAAATGGGTGTGGGAGTCTCCCCTTGTCTCGAGTTTTTTGGGATAGTTTGAGAAGGAGAGAAGTTAGATGTTCTCAGAATGTTTGGTAAAACTCACCTGTGAAGCCATCCGGTCCAGGGCTTTTGTTTGTTGGGAGTTTTTTGATTCCTGCTTCAATTTCATTAGGTGTAATCATTCTATTCTTATACCACACACAAGAATAAACTGAAAATGGATTAAAGGCTTAAACATAAGATTCAAAAGCATAAAAATCCCAGAAGGAAATGCAGGCCATAAAATTTCAAACACTTCTCATAGCAACATTTCCCCTATGTCTCATCAGGCAAGGAATACAAAAGAAAAAATAAATAAATGGGACTACATCAAACTAAAAAGGTTTTGCACAGCAAAGGAAACCATCAACAAAATTAAAAGAAAACCCACTGAATGGGAGGATATATTTGCCAATGATACATCCATTAAGGGATTAATATCCAAAATTCATAAAGAACTTCTAAGGCTCAATCCCCTCCCCAACAATCCAAGTAGGAAATGGGCAAAGGACCGGAGTAGACACTTTTCCAAAGAGGACATGCAGATGGCCAACAGATACATGAAAAGATGTTCAATGTCACTCATTATCAAAGAAATGCAAATTAAAAACACAATGAGCTATCACTGCACACCTATGAGAATGGCCGTCACCAATAAATCTACACATAACAAGTGCTGGCAAGGGTGTGGAGAAAAGGGAACACTCGTGCACTGTTGGTGGGGATGTGGACTGGTGCAGCCACTGGGGAAAACAGCATGGAGTTTCCTCAAAAAATTAAAAATGGATCTGCCTTATGACCCAGTGATTCCACTTCTGGGAATGTATCTGAAGAACCCTGAAACCCTGATTCGAAAGAATATGTGCACCCCTACGTGCATTGCAGCGTTACGTGTGACGGCTGATGTTTGGAAGCAGCCCAAGTGCCC